AAATCGGTTCAACGTAAAAAATTGCATCTAAATCCGATTGCAGTGAGTAAAAAAAAGTATTCGCACACAAACACGTACATACATTGCTTTGAGATATTGACGATATGACTATTGAGATTACGACGATATGAAAAAGAATGTTGCTACATGAAATGCTTTAGCTAATATGCACATAAAAAAGTATGCTTTCTGATAAAAGCATGCAGCAATATCTTTTTTCGGATAGAATAACTTCCAAAAAAGATGGGATGTGCAAATACTATTTTTATTCATCACTATATATGCACTTTAAATGCATCTTTTCGATAAAATTGACCGCTACATCAAGAGTTCGTGGTTAAAATGAAATAAGTTCATTTTTTGAGATTCTATTAGATTTTTGAGATTTTTTTAAATATTGTAGTAGAAACTGTTGTAGAAAATAAATCTGATACCTAAATCTTCAACTTTTTCCCTAGTACTTGGTATATTTATGAAATCGGTAATGTCAACTATCACGTGCAGACGATTCGAATATAAAATTACAAATATATCCTGAACCTAATAAAGATTGAATCACTTGGAAACGGTGCTCGAGTACTCATTATGTTTGTATGGATTGCACGGTATAAAAAGGGTGAAGGGTAGGGAGCGAGAAGAGAGAGAGATTAGTGGTGGCCCTCGAATCAATACTTACGTGCAATTTTCAAGCGAGCCGAGTATTTGTTACTTATATATAAAATCATTTTATTTATACCTAATGCTTTTTATCAAATCGCGTGCATTTAATTAAATCGTTAAGAAATGTTTAAACGTGTGTATCAATCAATGTGCATCAATTAAGCTTATTTGCAAATAATGTACGATGATCACTTTGTCAATGTATTTCTCTAAATATGTGTTTCGTATTTTTTAGTTATTCTGTCGAGTATCACCGTAAAGGATACATCAAGAAATACGTCAAGAGGAGTTGAGCAATAGAGTATCGGTAGTAATTCGATCTCGAGTTACGAGGTCAAACGTTTCGAAGCGTGCTCGAAAATGGAGATAACGATGTGGGAAAAGTGTCATGCGAAAGATTATCTCTCTAAAATTCTCTTCCTCCTCAGAATTCAATTTTCCTCTCTTAGCATCCTTCCGAAAATGATCTTTGAAGTCGGAATATATTCCGTACCGACTCTTCTCGTTCTAAAATATTTCATATCGTTCTTTGTCGCGATTGAAATACTATAATTACATTTTCGCAAAGTTGTTTCCATGCGGATCCATATTACTCAAATCGTCAGAATAACTCAACGTTTGATCTCTATTTTTTTAAATATGAAACTCGCGGATTTATATGTTGTTCATCTCGTGGATCATTTTATTCGTAGTTATCAAAGGATATGTCTATCCTGATAGAACGAGGGTAAAGATAAAGCTCTTATAAAATATCGGTTGAAAGAAGGAAGATTTCACGTGAAAGGAGCATCGAAGTATCCGATGTTACGAAATAGGGAACTCTTTTAAGATTATTTCTAATTTTCGTCTCCCTCCAGTTTCGAGTTAGGCAAACGAAGACATCTAGTCCACGTGTGTTCATCAGAGATTTAGCGATTAGAACCATCCATCTAGATCAGATCAAAATATTAAATTCTGACAGGAAATCGACTGTCCATTCTATCCTCAATCTCTATCTATCCTGTGAGCGACTTTTGTATCGTCCCTCAATTAATTTTCTACACATTAAAATCTTTTTACATGTCATAATATAGCATTTCGAAGGTGCAACAATAAGGTAGATGACTCTGATCCGTTAATATAGTTTTTCAGTCATTCAAAAAATGGAGCAGAAGGTGAAGGTGAAAGCTGAAAATGAGCCGAAAGTGCCGTGGTGCCGTAAGAGATTGGCAAAAAAGCTCGCGTCTCTTGAAGGAGGACGGTCGCGCGAAAATCGCAAGGAGGTTCCCCCTTCTCTTGGATAGGAGGGGCGCCCCTATGGTGGCCTACCGCAACAATTCGGGCCGATCGTCATTACGCTGGAATCATCCCCCGTTAGTGCTCCCTCTCGTCTCCGCAAGGCCGGGCCGATCTCCACCTTACCGATCGAATGATGAAAGTTCACGCTCGTAGCGGCTCAGCATCGCCTCCCACGCTACACTCATGACGATTACGTTGACGATGTAAAAGACGAAGACGATGAGATGACGATGACGATGGGGATAACGCGAAGAAGAATGTGACGTCGAAATTCGCGAGTACCGGAGACGAGAAGAAAGCCCGTATACTGGGTCCGGATACGTGCCGCTGTAGAGCGAACGAACTCGCGAGATTCCTGACCATTGGACCGACCCTCGTGCATGCATACTTTAGCATAACGTTCTCTATACAATATCCAGAAAGAGGGAAAGATTTTCCGCCGAGGGGAGGACGGTTCCTCCTCGTCACCCCTCGGCGGCTTCGCCCTTTCTCTCTTTCTCTCTCGCACGCGCGTGCCCTCTCCCTCGCATCGTGCCGGGGGCCTCAGCATTCGTCCTACCCCTCGCGCTGACCCCTTCCCCCTCCTCCCCGCCCCCATCGTTGCCGCGAATCGATTTGTTATTGTTTTTGTGTCTGCGGTCGTCGCGGCGGATGGAGCGGGGTTATATCGAGGGGTGGATGGGCGAATGGTGAATGGGGTGGGGTTGCCGGTGCCGGTGATGCTGGTGGTGCTGCTGGTGGTGCTGCTGCTGCTGCCGTTGCTGTTGGTGGTGGTAATAGTGATGGTGGTGGTGGTGGTCGCGCTCGAGCTTCGAAGCCTCGGCTTCGGTTTTCGGGACCGGCAGAGAGGCGACCAGGGTGAATAAGCTGCTGCTGCTGGGAAGGGTGGAAAGGGGAGGCGGGAGAGAATCGCAAGGGAACTCGTGAAGGGAGAAAGAGAGAGAGAAAAGGGATAGGATACGCGCGATTCCGATCAGTGGCGTAGCCAGCGTGGGGGACAAGGAAAAATCGAAAAATCTCGACCACTGCACGTACGGAATTGCGCTGGAAACTTTACCCCATCCCTTAATTGCTGCTGCTTAAAAACTATCGCTCGGCTAAGCGACGAGAGATGGTACTCGTCGAGTGTGACGTGACTCCAGCATTGAGGAATCCGAGACCGACCACGAAAAAAAGGCCTGAGATCACGCCATTGGCATAGCCGCGGAAAAGAGATGAAACGAGAGAGGGTTGAGGATGGAAGCTGGTACAATGAGGAGGAGGAAACGAGCGATGGTGGGTGCGGAAGAAGGGAGAAAATCCCTGCGAGGGAAAGGGCGAGGAGGGAAGTTGGAACGGAGTAAGCAGAGGAGGAGAAGGAAGAGGAGGAGGAGGGCGATCGCGTAGGTTAAACCGAGAGGGGACTTTGCGCGAGGATGGAAGCGGGAGGGACAGGAACGGCGCGGATCGGATTGCATCCGCGAGTTGCATCGGCGGGGAGGGGGAGGGGTGGCGACAGAGATAGTTGGAGGAAGAGCAAGAGGGAGCGAGGAGGATGAAGGAAGGGAGAGAGAAGGGAAGAGCGAGAGGGTAACGAGGTAGCAGGGTGAGGGAGGAGGGACACGTCGGCATCGGCTTGACAGGTGACAACCGATCGGACCACTGACGTCACAGATCACTTGGCCGAGCGCGCGCGCGCGTCGCATGCACGCACACGCACAGACACGACCACACGACTACCCGCAAATCTCCGCGGCTACGCGACGTGGCGTAAGGTTCGGAGAGCCGTGTCTCACACTCGCATACACCACTGTGCACCGTCGACACACGTCACGTTCGGCACGTCACGCCGCGTGAAAGAGAAAGAGAAAAAAAGAGGGTAATTCCCTATAGGGGTGGCGAGAGAGAGAGAGAGAAAGAGAGGGAGACGTGTAGCGAAACGAGACGAGGGAAGGAGACGAGATTGCGGAGACGGCAATAAGAAGAGAAGGCGGGAACGTGAATTTCTGTTAACGTGGAGACCAAGGAGAAGACTTTCGGATGCGGATGACCGCGTGTAATCGTCAGGATTTTTCGCGTGACGCGAATATCCCCGTTTCCACGACGTACGACTTGAATTTTTGCTATTTACCGGGTGTTAACGCCGGCCGATGGTCCCCGCGCGCGGCGCCTTTCTATCTGGTTACCATTACACTCGGATGTATGAAATGCGCCACGGGCATACAACCATCCCCCCACAATAGCCCTATTTATGATTGGGCAAAATTGCTTTCCATGCGCAGAATAAAATCTCGCGCGCGGGTCCAGGAAAAATCCGCGGGGCGCCGCGACGGGAGGCCGCGCCGCCGCTCCTCGCGGTCGCGCGCCGCGTTTCCCCGAACGTGGAACGTTTCGTCTGAGAAACGCGGACAGAATCGCCGTGCGCGGCCAACGCGCCCGTCCCCGCGTGCCGGCGTGCGACGCATCGTCGTTTTCCCTCGATTTTTCTCCGCGGTTCCCACGCAGCCGACAAATTCGTCAGAAATTAAACGCGCTCCGCCGTGCTCGCGCGCATCCGCGGCGCTGCGATGGCCGCCCAGCTCGGCCAATCACCGTTCGCCATGCCGAGTAGTTCCAGGAAGCGCCGCGATGAGTCGCGGCGCGGCGCGACGGTCAGCGTGATGACCCAAATAAGGTTAAGTCGTTTCGACATTTCTGTTTAATTTCCACGTTAATTTCGAGCTCCCGTCTCGACTTCGTTATCTGGATTTTCCTTGTTCTTTTTTTATCTTTAAATCTTTGTCTGGGTCTTGTTCCGTAAGATTATGTTATAATGTTATTTATTAAGGATCGTGTACTCCGTCGATTGCAAACATTTAATTATCACTGATCCATCGAACGATTGTGATACTTATTCTTATCTCAAATCATAAAGTAGTGATGCGAATTTGATTTAATAGTTATTAATTATTTCTCACGAGGCGCATTATCATGAAGTCGATAGGTTAAGTTAGGTTAGATGACAAATTGGGTAGAAGGTATTTAAGTAACATAAAATATGAATTTTTAATGATATGCACGTTACATTATAATAAAATCTGATATCTGAATAATGTGTGTAACAAGAAATTTAATAATACAACATCGAAACTAGTGGACACTGCAATCGATTGTCCAGGTCAGTTCCGACTGCGAGCTCCCCCTTCCTTTCGTCTGTCCCTTTCGGATGTAGCACAGCTGGCTCGTGCTTACTCCTTCCCACAATCTTTTCATTCGGAACAGGCTCCGGTTTCCAAAGTCGTATCAGCTGATGGTACTTGATTTTATTCTCTACATGCGCTGTAATTCTAATCGAAATGAATATTCGTCGTCTAGTCGCGTTCGGATTTGTTCGTTTTCACGCACGCGTCTCAGGGCGACCCGTCCACCGTTGATCGACGCGATCGGATCGGACACGCGGGTTCCAGTCGTCCAGAGTGGTTCGAGAGCGGTGTGGAGCGCCGCCGATAGGTTGGCAGCTATCAGGATCAGTCGCGCTGGTCGCGCATCCGCAACCGATACCGCACGCCGCTGTCGCCGCTGACGGCGGGGTCTCTGCGCGTCTAGTCTCGCAGTCGCTCGCGGGGTCAAGCCAAGCCAGTTGGCAACAGACCATCGAGCGGGTCGCTTGCGCCAGTCCACGGCCGCGTTCTCTGTTCTTCCCCTTCCTCGTCTCCGGCCGTTCCGTGTGTTTCCGAGCGACGTCTTCTCATCTGGCGTTTCGCGTGTCGTGCAGCGGCTGTCGAGTAGCGCGTCCCTCCGCCCGGAGGAGAAGGAAATCGGCTGTCATCGTTGTTGTCATCATCCACGCGACGCTGCATCGACGGTCGGCTGCCATGGGGCCCGTCGACGGGATCATTTGACCCACGGGAACGACTCCAGGCTCGTCGGTGGGATCGTGAGCAGACTCGCGTGAGCGCTACGAATCGGTAAACGAGCTTGAACAAATTTTTCCATTGTTATCGTCATCGTCTTTGTTGTCCTCGTTACCGTTGTCATTGTCGTCGCGCGATTCTCCATCTGTTCTTTCTCTCCCCCTCCCCCTCCCTCTATCTCTCTTTCTCTCCCTCTCGCGCGTGTATACGTGTGACAGCGCGCTCGTTGTTTCACCCATTCGTCCCCATTCCCGTTCCACGACACGAGCGAGGGCGCTCTCCTAAGAGAAAGCGTTTCCTCGCGAAATCCTCGTCGATTACCCTCGGACTCGATCGCGCAGAACGCAGCTGCATCGCTCCGAGAAGCCGTATACGTGACGTGAGATTGACGCGAAGAACTTTGACGTGCGAGTGCCTCGATCAAGGCTGAGAGACGTTGCACTGCAGGCACACACACTCGCACGGTCGACGTATCGTTCGTGGAATTTATGCCAATCAGCACCGCACGCTCCTTCTCCCTCGCGTCATTTTCCGTGCGATGGATTTCGTCATTCGCGAACCAGGGAGATTTGTCCAACGGTACTCTTCTCTTGAACTCTTCCAAATTCGAAGCGTACACGTGTTTCTTTCTTCATTCGCAATTTAAAAGCTCCGAGAGAGATAAGCACGAAAGACTTTCCCTTTGGATTCCGTTCCTCTCGATGATGATCTTTTCTAGAGACTTTATTACCTTGATAATAGTGTTTATGCGAAGAAAAAAGTAATCATATGTATTTCTCGAAACGTCTAGCAAATACAGACGTAGCGTCGAGTTCCTTGAACATTTCCAGACATGCCACAGCGTCGTG